CCATTGAGCATAGGTGCTCTATGGGACACGACTCCATACAATGTGAATGGTGCCTTCTGGCCTATTTAACCTTGTGGCTCTGGGGGGTTTTAGTAAGCTGAACCCAGTCTCTTTGATTTTTCTATATCTTTTTACTGCCTCTCTCACCCATGGTTTCTGAGAGGCAGTCAGGAAAGAACATGGTGAACTCTTGGCTTTAATCAAAAGATTATTCTGGAATCTTCCTTCTATGTGTCTGTCCCCTCTACTCCTTTGTGAAAAAATTTTTTCTTTTCCATTTTCCACAAAGCCCTCAGTGGTAAATTAAGATAAGGTAGGAGGTGGCATCAGGTGGTAAAGAAAATAAGGCAGGAGGGCAATCCAAGATGGCCACACAGGGCGATCCTGACCTGGCCTCCTCCTAGACACACCGCACTTACAGCTACATCTGGAACAACAGTTTCCTCTGAAAAAGACCTGAAAATCAGCCGAGCAGCTGCTTACCTTAGCAAATGAGAAAAGAGCCACATACAGGCCGGTAGGAAAAGCTGAGATGCAGTCTCGCCAAAAACCTTGGTGAGGCAACTCACAATGGGCGGGAGCTCACAAACCTGGAGTTTCTGCGTGAAGAGTGAAGGGTTTCTTCCTACATCAACTTTTAAGACCTGCACCTGAGAGATGAGCCCCCAACGCACCTGGCTTTAAAAGCCAACAGGGGCAGCAACCATGAGAGCCAAAGGGCTGTAATGAACTGAGAAAAGGCTCTTAAAGGGCCTGCACAGACTCACCGCAGGGCCCAGCACAGAAGAGGCTGTTGGAAAAGCACCCAGACTTTCTGTCGTGGAGATTCATTTGCTACTCTTAAAACATTGGCCTGAGGGGCCAGGGCCTGTTGAAATATTCTTCAGGGATAGAGGCACTGGGAGATGCCATATTTTTTTCCATCAGCTGGTACCGTTTTTATCCTCCAACTGGCAGGAGCTATCCTTGTAACAGTGACCTTATATCTTCTATTTTGAAATTTAAACCTCTGATGGAATTTGATTTGACAGTGGTTTGGCTTGGGACATTTTGAAAGTTTTTTTTCTTTCCTTTCTTTGCTTCCCTCTTCTCTCCCACAAACGTTGATGACTCTGCTTACTGTGCATTTATTATGCATACCTGTTCCCAAGGTTGTGGTTACTATGGAACAGTGTGCACACCTAGGAGCGGTTGTTTGCATCTGTATGGGGCTCACTCCTGACCCTGGGGCAGAATAGCCTCTAGGAAGCCCCTTCCTAAAGTTGCCTGGCCAATCTCTCCTTCCTTTGTTCTGCCCGCCTTGCGAGTCTATAAAACCTTTTGGCAATATTGAGAGAGCAAGGCAGTCTTTGTGACAGGGACTCCACTGTCTTCCCTTAATGCTGGCATTTTGGGTTAAAACCTGCTTTTCCCCCCACCAACCTCGCCTCTTGAATTTTGGCTTTTGTGCAGTGAGCAGCCGGAACTTTTGCACGGTAACATCTTTGTGCTCTCCCTGTGTCTTTACTAAAGCTGGCAGGCACCATTATTTTTCTCCCTTCAGAGGGCACCTTCTTCATGCTCTCTGCCACACTCCACAGCACCACTATCTCCTGGAAAGGAGCTTTTACACATGTCTGGTGCCTTGGGCTTTGGAGCCACAGCCCAGGGGATGCCCCTTTGTCATCTGGCTCTGGGTCCAATGGGACTGTAACAATCAGAGAGACATTCTAGGGAGGCTACCACCCCCAGGGCACTGCCCAGACAACAGACTGACACATACCCCCAGTCTTTTTGAAAAAGAGGACTACTGCTTGTCCAGGAGCTTTGGCCTAAGGGGTCTGCTTCTGGGATGGCACACATGTAGGGACCAATGGAGGGGCTCTCAATGAACTAAACCAGGGGACCCATCTTGGCACTGTCTCTGCCTTGATACAACTCAGCAGTATCCCCCAGAAAAGGAGCTTAAACACTTGTCTGGATCCCTGATTTTTGCAACTGTTCTGGTCTTGTAGCCAGTGGGACTTACATTTGTGTTTAAAAGCTGCTGCCTAAGGGTCTGGCTTCCAATCAGCCTGAATCTATAATAGATATTGACTGAAATCCTCCCCATTGGAACACTGACAGGTTTTGCACACACTCACTACTGGGAATCACTAAAAATAGGCTGCTTGGACAGTCACAAAGGTTCAAGAGACAACCAGGAGCTAGGGCTGAGTGGAAGAATAAGGTGCATCTCCTACACGAGGCCACTCCTTCAAGACTGGGAGAGGTGGCAGTTTCATCTAATACATAGAAACCGACAGAGTCAAGCAAAATGAGGAAGCAAAGGAGGAAGCAAAAAAAGACAAACTTCAGAAAAAGACCTTAATGGAATGGATAAGAAAATAAAACAGAAGAGTAAAGTGAATCTATACTTTCTCTTTTTTCCTCCACTTAAAGCTGCTTTGACTCATATAAGTCATCAGTCTGTCCCACAGAAACATCCTGAGGCTTCCTCCAGGACCCTTTATTCCAGTAACATCTTCATGTCACCCCAGGATCCCCTTCACTCTTGATTTCTTGTGACTTGTGAAAAGTAGGTAGACGTTCAATTGGCCTTTTGACCAGAACCCAGTTAATTTATGATGGATGTGGGTGTGGAAGGGTGAGGGGAGGGGATGAGGAAGTAACATATTACTCCATAGTCTGTCTTTATTTGGGATCTGATCAGTTACTAAGTTGAGGTTACAGGCGAGAGAAACTTTTGTGTACCTCACAACTTGTACAAGAGTGATTGAAAGAGGCAAAGATAGATGGATGTTCTCACCGGACACCTTAATCCAGAGGGGAGGAACTTGCTTTGCAGTACCTCCAAATGTGTGCTCCAGTGTCTCTCATGTCTTTTGTTTCATGCCTCTGGACTTCTGCTTGGGTTTCCCTATTTGCTCAGAATGTCTTTTCCCCACTCTCTCTACATATCCTTCAGGCCTCAGGCATCTTCTACTTTAGGACAACTCCCTCCATTCCCAAGTGACTGGCCCCAGCATGCTCTCCCTGTGAGTTCCCATAGCAACCTGTATGTCTCCATATCTGTTCATGTGTTTGTGTTCAACAACTTGCAGGCTTATTTATCATTATCTTCCTAATCGATCATTTGGCCTTTATCAGACAGCCAATAAATGTTTATTGAATAAATGAGTTGAGTAAAGGTTTAGAGATGCAAATAAGTTGAAAGCTAACGTTCTGAAACCCTAGTACAGTCTAATGACTAGCCACCTCTAGGTATTCGACCTCTATTCATTGTTTCTGGCTGTGCAGTCACAATCGGCCTAAGGACTAGGACCAGGCTGAGTAATTACGAGATGTTTTAATGATATAATAATAGCTAGCATATATTGAGTGATTACTGTCTCAGGCTTTGTTCTAAGCAGATTGCATATATTAATCACTTAATTCTCACAATTCTATAAGGTAATCATTCCTGTTTTATAGATGAGGAAACTGGGACATAGAGAGGTGAAGCGACATACCAAGGACACCCAGCAAGTGGAAGACCTAGCTCCAGAGCCATACTCTCAACTGCTATGCCTCTCAATGACAAGGACAGAGATGGTTGAACCTTAATAACGTCAGGTTGATTCTGAACTTGAAAGGTAGATCTAGGTCAAAGGAAGGAATACATTCTCCTTTTTACATCTTTATCTGTCATTCCATGATTTCATTATGCTCACCTTCTTCACCTTACATATCTCTTACACATATACACCCATGGCCACCTCTGCAATGAACAGGGGTGCATTGAAAAGGCCACCACCTTTTCTGAATGAACAGGGTTTCAGTTGTGAGGGGGATGGAAAGCGTTGCAGGACTCCAGTAATTATGCAGTCCTGATGAAATGCAGAGTAGCTTGGACTGTAAAATGAGATGGTGCATTAATTCATGCCTGGAAAGAACAGAGCAAAACGGTGCTTTTCTTTCCACAACAAATCTCTAAAGGAATATCTCCTTTAAGCAATTTAGTTCATCATAAAAGTAGATCCTTTGGGAGAAACTTATTTATAATGCTGGGAAATAAGGTGGTCTCCTCCTAAGGTAAGCTGGAATTTCTGTTGGAGCCACAGAGTGACCACTATTGAGATCTGAGCTCATTATATAGTGTGGCCAAGGTGAAAAGGAAGAACTTACCGAGAAAGCTTTGAAACTTACTTATATTCAGTTGAAAAGTCATAATATTAAATAAGAAACTACCAGAGGAACCTATGAATATAGGTATCTCAGAAGACGCTAAGGCTTCCCCAAGGTGGCTACACAAAGACCCAGAGTTTGCAGGGCTTGAAAATGAACTGAGCGCACATATTTTTAAAGAACTCCATGGGGATTTTAAACATTTTAATGTTTTAACATATGGATATTTCCATATCCACTGTAAGGAAAACAAAGGTATATATTTATAGTTATTGGAGCAAGGATTTAGATTGAAATATCTGTACGGTTTTTACTCGAGGGATATAGGATTTTGGAACAGACTTTATTGGAGAGAGGGAAGATAGATTTTTCTCTCTAGATGCCTTTAGGAATGGAAGATGCATCTTATAAATTAGGTATTCAGATTGGAGGTGAAGTGATTGACTAACATTTTAATAAGCTATATGCATTCTGTAAAGATTAGTCTCTGAATATGTTACTATGATTGTGACCAAAATGGCCAAAAGCAACAAGAGTCAGAAAGAGAATGCCCCCAAAAGGCTTAAAAAAACAAACCAAAAAACCCCCCAAAACTAAGATTTCACTTGCCTAAGTAAAAATATAAAGTAGGTATTCAACTGGCAACTTTAAGTAGGAAACAAACAGACAAAAAATAGAATCTAGGTGAATTATTTTTCCCTACCTATCACAACTCCCTCCTGGTAAGGGTTGCAATTCTGGGTGAATTTAGCCCTCCTCCTTTATGTTCACTTTTATAAAGGGAAATTGTGTTTGTGTGCAAAATGTGTATTTTACCACGGTCCTACACAATATTAAAATTTCAAAGAAAAATAGACAGGTAAAAGATGTTTATTGACACTGATTGAAACATATACAAGTATTTCTGAAGAACAAGCTGAAAACATTTCCTGGTTTATTTTCTCACACGGAGACCCATATCACGCTGAAGGCAGGGTGTGCCAGTTTTCCCTTGTGGAAAAGCACATACTGGCGGTAAGCTTTGCCGAGAGAGCGGTTTTTGTCCTTAAAGAACTTCACGGCAGAGATCCTTCTAGCGAGCGGTAGTTGTTGGTGCTCCCAGGGCTGGCAGGGACAGGGCCAGCTGAAAGAAGCGAGGGCACTACAGGAAGTTTCACTATTTACATAGAAATTGACTTGCTGGGGCTTTGCCCCTGAGCTCTCTTGAAAGATGACGCTGAACTGTGACTTGAAAGACAACCAGCATTAGGACTGAAAAAGTGCAGCTGCAAAGTATGTGGCCCAGTTCGTGAGAGTCTAGATTGTGTCCACAGCAGAGTGAGTGGCCTCCTGGTCAGAACAGTGTCCAGACAGGACACATGGGTTGCATGATGATTATGACAGATCACTACCAGGAGCAATCCCTTTGATGTTCCAAAGAGAAATTAGCACGTAAAAACTAACCAAGAAAAGGCCTTTCCCTTCCCGTATCCTCCTCTGCCTTTGGGGGCACTGAGGCCACTCGCCATAATCAGCTTTTGTGATTGCGAGGTTTGCCCATCAGGAATATCATTCTTTCCATCCAAATTGCTTCTTCTAGGTCTTAAAAGGCATTTCAACAAACAGATAATCCAGTAAAAAATACAATGCAGAATTTTACACTAGAGTCATAACTCTGAAAATATTTCTGCTTATTCAAATTAATTTCTCCTCCAGAAATCTAAAATTAGGTGTGATAAATTAACGATAATACAAACAGAGCTGCTTTCAATAATTTAATTATTAGACTCAAGCCCAAAAAAGGAACTTGCATGAAATATTAAATATTACTCTTAAAGCAATTTGGGCACAGTCACACACACACATCAGGAAAGGAAAAATATTCTCCCCAAAATGCCAGTGTTTTGTTTTGCTTGGAAAAATAATGACAATACAATTAGAGGTAAACAATATTTTCTTCAGCTCCATCTCCTGTTTCTCCATCTTCTGTTGTCAATGTCTGTAGATTTAGCTTTGCTTCTGCTATAAACGTCTGCAGCTGAGGGCCATGTGGATCTGAGTCATGGGGACTTGGGGACTCAGTCTCAGAGATGTCCAAATCTGCAACAGATAGACAGACAGCACAGGTCACAAGAGAGTCAGTTTGAGACCCACAAAGCAAGTGAACTATGATTCAGAGTCAGCCATGGAGAGAATGGTGGAGTCCAGTGAAAAAGGAACAAAATGGATATCTAATGATTTAATCAGTATCATTAAGATTTATTTGGCCATATGTATAAATGTCTCCTGTGGCTAAAGATAACCTGTATAAAATGCTCCTAGGAAAGTGTCAAATAAATAAAGACTTGTCACCAGTTGTAGGCTGTGAAAACACTGCTACTGCTGAGAAAGGGGTGTCCATTTATTTTTAAAACTGGGCTCAAGATCTTAGAACTACAGTATGTACTCTAGCTATGTGCAATTAACTAATATTTGCATCTGCATAGCACTTTCCCTCAGAATATCTCAAAGTCAAGAACTGACCTCAAGACAAATAATGTATCTGGGATTTTACTGATCTGGGAAAGGGGTGGGGAGAAAGGAGCTGAAGGATGGAGACCCTTCAACTTCACCATTATGCAAATCTGTTTACACCACACAAATCACTTAGCAAGAGTAGCCAGGTTCCTAGGGAAAATCATTCCAATACCAGCTATGACTGGGTTTAATTTTGCTGGTTACCTAGCAACAGCAGGGCATAGTCTAGTCTCCTTTTTTTCTGGTAAAAACCCTCTAACGTATGATTTAAAGGGGAGGCAAAAGGGGGGTCTGATTTTAAGAAAAGAAAGGCTTTTGCTTAAACCATTTTCTCTGCACTTGTTCTATGGACCATGCTCCCTGAGGCTTGTTATATGGCAAAGTTACGAACACCCAGCTTCATTTGGAGCAAAGAAGCGTAGTAATGGAAATCCAGGCGGGGAAGGTGTATAGCCCTGAGGCCCACCTGCTCTTTATTCAGCCATGAACAAGAAGTCATTATAATCCTTGCCCGCATTTTACTCAAAGCCTCTATTATTTAGATGGATACACATAACTGCTGGCATTCTAATGACAAAAAATGCTCGTGACTTTTGCCCTCTCGACAAGGAGGATCTGTGGTTGTTAGCGAAAGCAGGAAGCAAGGCCTGGGAGGAATGAACAGCAAAACGTCCTCACAATGCTCCATCTTCAGGGATGTGGCTCCCTTTGCTACATCTCCTTCATCACTTCTTCCAATGGGAGGCAGGAGCAATGGGAGAGGGGTAGCTAGGGCCACAGGAAGTAGAGACAGGTCACCTGGAGGAGCTGACCTGTGCCTCTGCAGCTGAGGAGGAGCCCTGGGAGAGGGGAGGGCAAGAGGAGGTGAGGAAGCACGGCTGCACTCCAGTTCTGTCAAAGGTTTAGGCCATCCCTGACTTTGTCCCCAATAAGGCACAAAGAAAAAAATCCACTTACACTCGGGTGACTTGATTCTACTGACCTCAGTTCCAAATCCTGTACCTCAAATACTGGGAACTACTGAAAACATATCTACTGAAGATGCCTCTAACTACCACCATGTATAGAGAGACTTCTCCCAGCACAGGATTTGTTCCAGGTCTTACCCTCATTTAGTCAGGTAAACACAAAAACCCCCAGGCAATGATCTCACTATCAAAGCACTATAAATCAACCTAGAATGTTCTGTGTCCTAGTTCACCACATTGGGAGACAAAGGATGCCTGTGTGGTCACAATATACTTTCACAATTTCAACTCCTTTCCCAGTCATTGACTAAATAAGACCATTTCACCTCTAAAAAAAAAAAAATAGTCCCAGTTAAACTCCTGATGTTTAATATTACACAACCTAAAAAACAAAACAAAACCCACCCCCAAAACTCCCACACCTCAGAACTTCCATCTAGCCGATGCCGGCAGATTGGAGAACAGTTCACCTGAGCCTACAGTGCTGCTTCCTAGCTTACAGGAGGTCCAGCCAGGGCACAAGAAATACTACATGGAGAATGAATAATCGTCCATTAAATGAGGTGGATGGGAGGTGACTGCTGACACAGGTGACCATGCCAGGCAAAATGGAAGCCCTTAATCCATGTAGGTTTCCTTCCTCTGGGGTGTGAAACCTGTAGCAAAGAATCCAAAATACTGGTGAGTCTAGGTAACTGGGAAGTCCCCTTAATGGTTTCAAGAGAAGATGTGCAAAAGGAGCCAAAGAACAAAATATGTATTAGAAAGAATTCTTTAATCTGAAGTTACATTTTAGGCCCTAGTTCAGGAAGATGGAGAACCAAAAATGAATTGGTGTGTGTGTGTGTGTGTGTGTGTGTGTGTGTGTGTGTGTGTGTGTGTGTNTGTGTGTGTGTGTGTGTGTGTGTGTGTGTGTGTGTGTGTGTGTGTGTGTGTCTGTGTGTGTGTGTGTCTGTGTGTGGTAGAGGGGTATAAGGGGGTATAGAAGGGGGTATAGAACTTTAATCACAACATTTTCAAATAAGAATAAAAATACAGAAGAAAAACATCTCTAGGTGAGAGCTTGCTGGATCCTAAAGTGAATGGCCCAAGTTGTAATCCTAGATGTATTAATGGAGGTGGTTGTGGTGTGTGTCACCTGGAGAGGAACTCAATTTCCTTCTCCATGTTCCTTCTTGGTTTTACCTGAACTGCTTAGGCAAGGTCAGGCAGTCTGTCTTTGAAATTAGAAACTGTTCTGTGATTTCTGATTTTATTTCTCCATTTCAACCCTGAAAGAACTGCAGCACAGCAATTGTATATTTCTCAAGGTCAGCCACCTTTTTCCACACTTTTTACCCTAGGGAGTGTGATCTTCATCCAGAACCCTAAACTGAAAAAACATTTTGTTCAAATGAAACCTTACTGATTCGGAAAGCAGAATTCTTGAGAAGTTAATCATCCAATTTGATTTGTGATCAAAACACCTATAAATTGGTAGACGATAAAATAGAGTACCTCATTTTTAATAAGCCAATATTAATGCAACCTTAATCTGGTCAACTAAAAACCAAATGCTAGTACAATGAGACAAAACTTCAAGCTACAAAGAACCTTTGAATCTAGTGTCTCAACATACCTTCCCTACTTAGCTGACATAAAAGAAATAATTTGATCCTTACCATACCTCTGGAAACTTGAGCATTATTAACTTCAAAATAAGGACACATACACTGAAACACACCAAAGCCCAAAAGCCTGTCGAAACCAAGTGGAGAGAAAGAATCTTGGTGCATGGTTTTTTCTATTTAACTGAACTTTTATTGAGATCCTAAAACTTTATCCTTCCCAAGAAATTTCCTTGGACCCACTGATAACTTCTGCACTGATATCCAGAGACGGTTCCCTAAATGTCCCTATTTTTAGCCCTTAGTTGCAACTTGTTGGTTGACATGTGCATTTCTCAGTTTCACACTTTTCTCTGCTCACCAGCTGTTGGAATGTCAAATTATCAGGGGAGAGAATCTTGGGCCTGGAATGACATACAACTACAGAAATCGGCTCCTGAAAAGCTGATACTAGCAGAAAGTAAAATCAGCCTTTCCTTCATCGGCTCACCACCGTCATTATTCTTTTGAGCCAACTGAATAAATTGGTTATTTGCAAGATCAGACTATAAACTCAAGGTGTAAAATGCAACCCCATGCCATATTAAAAAATGAATAAAGGTCTTTCTAAACTCAGAAGTGAATGAAATCTTTGAGACCACAAGCTAAAATGGAACCCTGGACAAGTCATTTCCCTTCTTTGGGCTTCAGTTCAGGAGAGATTGAACTGAAATCATCATTCGGGCCTCTTAAACTTATACTGCATGAGAAGTTTTACATCTGTGCTTTGGCTCAGTGGTTCACTAAATAATATTCTAGTGGTGCAACAAATGTAGGCATTTTCCAACTGTGTTATGCTCAAGAAATGCACATGTATTACCTTAAGTTGCATCTAAAGTAATGTTTTTAGGGTAATTTCTAGACATACGTCCCACCCCTCTACCTTCAGTCTTCCAAACAACATGTATGAGTTGAGCCCATGCACAGTCCTCAATGACAGGATTTGGAAAGCTACCTCCTGAGGGAAACATAACATCCATAGTCCAAACCTGCAGTTCATCTCCCCTTCTATGAACAGCAAGCTTAAGAGTAACTTGTCATAAAGAACAGGTGTGGGACAAGTAAGAATGTGTTGTCTATCTTTTAAAAATAATTAATGTAGTCTTTGCCTCTTTTTGCATTTTCTGAAGAGAAAAGATTTTAAATCATGATAATTTTTTAAACAGAAGCTTTACATTTAAAAGCACCCATATAATTTTCATCATGATCTTCAACTATCAAGGTCTGAATTTAGCTCCAACAATATGCCTGGTGATCAGGCACCCAGCAGCCCAATGCTGCCAAAAGCATGTTGACTCTACTGCTGGGCTCATTGGTGATGATGCCTGGTTCAGGCCCCTCTGTATCTTATCCCGTTCCATTCTCCTCAACAAAGCTCACAAAACAGAGGTTTGTGTCTTCTGGGTCTTGGCTGTGTTCTTGTTTACTTTAATGAAGTGTCCTGACGTGTACTTATTACTATATCCCTTGTTCCTACAATCAAAATTCACACTTTCCTAAAATACCTCTACCTAAAATTTTGTCATTAATGTTCCAAGTCTGCAAAATAAGTTCCATTCCCTATTTAATGATTGATTGATTCATGCTTACACTGTGAAATGTTTAAAAAATTGTTTCCTGATGGCATTACTGGCAATCACTATTTTTACTCAGGAGCATTAATGCACAGAATTTTCCTTCTAATGGAAAACACTTATTGTGCAGAGCTCGAGGTATCTTCAGCGCAAAGGAAAATTCGTCTCTGTCCCTTATTTTGCTCAACTTCATTTTCCATAGTGAGTCACAAACAGTATGTGAACATCTGGCTTGAAAACCACTCTGGAATTGATATCTGAAGCCAACAACTTCAATTAATGTTATGATTCCCTTTCCTATCCCTCATGTACCAATATTGTACCTGAAATAAAATAACTGAAGTGTGCTCTGGGTGTGTGTGTGTGTGTGTGTGTGTGTGTGTGTGTGTGTGTGT